TAGGATGTTGAATCAACAAATATTGAACAAAATGAAATTCCATCGAAAAAAATTGATCGAGAACGTCTTATGACAAATTTAACGTATCTTGTTGAACATACAAATAATTTTGGTGTAGAAAAATTAAGTACAATTTGGTTTGAGTTATTCGATGTAATTGAATCATGTCGATCACTTTCATCAGATGAATTAATTTTTGAAGTATTTTTTGTTTTATTTTATTTTATTTTATTTCTATTCTAAAACTTTATTTTATTTTAGACATTTGAAAAAAATCTTCGTTCAATTGTTTAAATTTTGTTAATTTTTCATTTATTAATTTATCTAGTCTTACCATTTCGCATTCTTGAAAAAATCAAATGAACACAAATAACTCAGGAAGAGCGACATAATGGTCTTCTTTTGTATTTCTCAGGGTGGAACGGAGGAAAGAGTATATAAAGCTCATTTAGTTTTTTTTTCCTTTATGACTATTTTTCTTAGTTATCATTAAATCTTTATTTAATCGTTATTTTGGTAATAACAAACAAACGAATTCATGTAGAATATGTAGCACTCAGATTAGATGCTATTTTGTCCTCTTCCTTCTTTTTCTGTCTCTCTCTGTGTTTATTATTACATTTGTCTTGTGTATCATGTGTTCATTTTTTTTTCTTTGTAAAAATTAGCTTTTCTTTTCTTTTTTTTGTGTCTTTATCTCTTGTATGGAAATAAAACAACAACATCAAGTATTATAGGATTATTGAATTGATAAAAAAAAAAAATTGAAAGAAGAAATTTATTAAGTATGTTTGACTTCTGGTTCTTTTTTTTTGTAGATATCATCAATGGTAATTTCGAATAGTAAAATTGTTCAAGGGTGTAATGTATTAATATCATGTCAAAGAGATCAATTAAAATCTTTATTCAATTTTATTAGACGTCTAGAGAACTGAACAGTTGAGCTCTGTTGAAAAAGACTCTATGATGGATGCCGGTTCGGTTCTTTAATCGTGAACTCTCAGTAGTCTATTCAGCACATATTATATATTGTATCGCTAAATGGAGAAAATAACATAGGTTATCTTTAAGCAGACGCACGTAGATACATGATAAAACAACTATTCAAACCCAATAATAAAATTTGAGAGTCATCTCATTGATTATGATCTAGAGTGATAGAAAAAAGTTTAACAACAACGTATTTTCTTTTCTATAACGTTAAGCAATTAGCTCAAATCCAGATAATGATTTTAATAGCAAATGAAGTTTTCATTGTAATGCATTCTGTACTAGATGAACTATGATAGCAAAGTTTCTAAGCAATCGGACAGGGTAGTTTTCAAATCCGAGAAGACTTTTGTCAAAGCCATTTTAAAGAACTCAAAATTGTGAATGAAATGATGAATCATCGCATTTTCTACGACTTTCCCTTTAAAACTTCAAAGAATCACAAAAAAATTGACCAAAAAACGCCTTTTTTGTAATACTTTACACTTTTTAAGGGAAGCCTGTCGAAAACGCAGCAATCCCTCCTTTTGTTCAGAATTTTGTACTCTTTAAATAACTTCGACAGTCTTCTAGGACCTGAAAATTATCCTGTCCGGTTTTTTAGAAACCTTGTCATCATAATTCATTTAGTATAGAATACATTAAATAGAAAACTCCATTGGCTATTAAACTTACTATCCGGATTTAAGCTTATTACTTAACATCATAGAAAAAAAAATCAAAAATACGTTGTTGTTAAGCTTTTTTTCCACCATCTTATATCAATAAACTGTCGTGCTAAAAGATGTCCGCCTTTGACAACTAAATAAAGCTGAAAATAAAATGCACTTAGTGTTCTCTTTGAAAATTATGACAAATTCAGTTTACGAATTCTTTTCATTTCTCTTTATGTTCGTTGATGAGTCATGGTTCGATTATCTTCTTATAAGCATGGAATTTCAGATCTTCTTTCAACATTCAATGTGCACTTGATTTCGACATGTCGTATTCTTTAGTCAAACTTTGAACGGATACTACCTTCTTGTGATTTACTTTTTGAAGCAATTTACTTGTCCGAGAAAAACGTGATCTACTTGACGGTGTTGACAGCTGAATAGAACCGGTGTTATGAATAGACTTACACCATCTTTCGATGGTATTGAGTCCCAAGAAGCCGTTTAAATCACGAAAAATCTTGGTAGGATTATCGCCATTTTCGTATTGACAAAAAAACAACGTTTCAGAGATCTTTTCTTTTCATCTTATAACAAAGACAAAATAGGCTTAAATAAAAAACAACACATAGGTTCTTATAGAGGTTAATAAGACGAATATTTGATAAAAACAATTTAGTTTGAACAAATGAGAATGAATACAGATGTCAGTAAAATACTCAGAGGCCTATTAGTTCTAGAACGTCCTTAATATTTGTATTGTTTATTTGATTTTTGTTTTTTGGATTAGATAAGTTTGAATGCATTACATCAATTTCTTTCACAAATTGGTAAAATTTGATATATTCGTTCAGCTTATATTAATGAGAATGCTGAAACACGTGATGCTTATATTGAATTTAGTGAACAGCGATCGATTCCTAAAATACTTTCAATAAATGATTTTCAATTTTTTTAGCTGATCATTATTGTATATAAAATTTTATATTACAAATACTTTTCCATTTTTATTTTTGAATAGGGTCAATTATGCAACTTCATGTGTAGAATTTTAATCTTTAATTAAATAATAAAAATTCTTTTTAATACATCACGTTGTCACGATACTGGAACAAATGATGATGATCGTCATTCATCATTAAGATTAAAATCTCGTAAGAAATCTGCTAAATCAAGATGATCATCTAAATCTTGGTCAAGATTTGTTTTGATAATGATTAAAATTTCAGGATAAGTTTTTTTTGTTGTTTTTATTAGATCAAGAAAATGTAGTCGATCACGTTATCGAAAGCGTGCTCATCGTCGAATTGAAAGTCGAAAGGATAAAAAATCCCGAACATAAATAAATGAATATATATATATATATAGACTTTTTTTATGTATATTTGGGTATGAACTTTATAAGAAATAAATTAGAAAAAATTGTTTCTTGTTTTTATTTTAGTTAGACAATGTCTAAAGTAGATTATAATGCAGTCTGAACTTCGGTTTTTCTCATTCTTTGAAAACAGACTAGCAGAATTTATATAGAAATTCTATTAGTGTTTTTTTTTCAAATGTATTATATACTATTCTGATGCTTAAAACAGGTGAAGCAAAAATTCTGCATTAGTTTCGTTTTTAATATGGTGTTGCAGTGCAACATCGTAAAAATTTAATCCTTTTTATTTTGTTAGAAAGAGAGAAAATATATGAGAGAATTTCATTGAAAATATTTCCTGAACGGCAAAAAGTCTTAGAAGAAAAAGTATCAGGAAATTCTTCAGCAATTTTTTGAATTTAGAAAGAACTTCATCTAAGAAAAATTTATTTTTCGTTATGTGAGAAAGGGAGTCATTGGTCTACCAAAAAGAAAGAAATATTCGACGTGTTTTACAATAGCAGATGTGAACGCTGTTATAGCATGTTCTGGTATCCTGAATTTTTTGTAACTACTAATCGCAGTCTAAAAACTAAATTCTACTCCGAAAGACAAATTGATAACGGTCCTCCCCTATAGAGAAAGTCAATTTTGGTCAAATCTATCGATTTTGTGATTTATTACTCGTTAGATAGAGCAAAGTGTCTACTCTCGAATGCACTATAGTTTATTGATTTTATGATGAGATTTAAGAATATTACATAGGTTTTTCTGAATCCTCACACAGGCAAAAAACGTTTTTTTTATCCGTATTTCATCAGAGAAATTTTCTACAAAAACACAAGCAATAGGAAAATTGACTCTTGTTAAGTTGTAGTACCATATCTTAGCTATATTTTTAAATCAATCCGAACTTTCTAATATTTGACATGGCGGAAAAATTTGTGTCGCATGGAAACCTAAAATTTTGACCCATAATCTTAAGCTAATCCTCCGTAAGCTCAATGTATCAAGCTAGAATTCTTAGTATGAGATGTCTAGCTCGAGATACATCTCGACTGCAAGTTTCATCAAGATTGGATGCTCGAAAAAAAAATTCATTTTTGAGGAGACCCTCTCAAAGGAAAACTCATCATAGACTATATATATCGATAAGTGCTTTGATTAACTATATAAAAAAAAATTTCTTTCTCTCATCTGAAACAGTAATGAATTCTCTTTCAAATAAAAGCAACTCGAACTCTACAGCTCGAAGTATTCTAGAAAAAAAATTGTACGTGTAAAAGCCCTATTTTACAGCTTGATCACTGGAAATCTTCTGAACGATAAGGTATAGAGGCATGACATTTTTTTAATTAATGTGCTTCCATGAGCCCAACATTTATGCAAAATTTGCCAAAGAGTCGGAGGCAGTTTGTCTAGCAGAAAGTGATTGAAAAAAGCTGCCTTTTAAACCTTGGCTGACAGTTTTCGAACAGCATCTCTAAATTTTCGCAGATACGAAGTAAAAAATGGAGGGCTAACCCAAACAAAATCTTGTACGTTCGATAGATTACATATGATGCTGGAAAGTATCGAAAATCGATAACAAAAAAATTAACATAATAAGATACAAAAGCTGTTTTTGAAGTTTCAGAAGAGCTGCCTAATACATTAATATTTTTAAATACTTTTGAAATTTTCTATTCTCTAATCTTATTATAGATTGAAATAATTCTTAATTGTGTGCTTTAACAAAAACTTATCTTATAATAACAACGATGAATTTATTATTGAAATTCATAAATCTGATATAACGAGATTATTCAAAAAAAAAAGAAGGAAAGATAATCGATTGGATAAAAGAAGATCAATTAAGCGTATGTATATCGCTGCTCCTTTATGCTGACAAATATTTTATTATCATCGATTATTTTTAGTTGATTCTATATGATATAAACTTTTCTTTTTTATTATTTATCCATTCTTTCTCTTTTTTTGTTTTTTTTAGATATGCAATGATCTTCTGTTCTCATATAATTCCATTGACACTTCACCATCATTTGAAACGATCTGTTGTTAATCTTTTTAAACAACCATGGCGTTTTTTTGGTGGAATAGATACCTCACCCTCCAATATAATGAGAAATGCACAAGTTCAAACTATATATACAGACACCCTTAATATACCTAATCAAGGTCGATTAGAAGTTCGATGTCCATTTAATCTTCATATAGCACCAATTCAGTCAACAGATTTTCCTAGACTTGATAAAGCTTTTTTTACTATTTATGGTATGAATAATATATTGTATGAGAGAAAAAATATTTTAAATAAACATATATATATATATTCTAGGTGATAGTGGTTTTAAATTTTCTAAAGAAACATGGAATAAGTTATTTAAATTTTCTACAGTATTTAGTTCGGATAATCGAACTCTTCGTGTTACAGGTGATTTTACCGAATCAGGTGAAAAAGAACTGAGTGAACAAGCTCATACATTAGAAGTTTATTGTCAAATTCCTCCACATTATGGTAAAAAAAAATAATTTCAAAAAACAAAACAAGAAAATTCTTCTTTTATTTAATTAGAACTCGATATAAATTGTATGGATAATAATAATGTTAATGTTGAACATCTTCAAAGTCCTCGTGTTCATGTAATGAAAATTTTTTTTGAAAAATTATAAATCAAGTTTTGTTTTTTGCCTAGATTCAAACAAAACGTGGTGAATGTTCATTAAAAAATATAATTGTAAATTTTCAAATTAAAGTTACTTTTTCTTTTTCATTTATAAGACAATATTACTTTGCATAGGCAGAAAGTATTGTTGTACACAGTCAAACAGGAAATATAAAATGTTTAGGTTCATTACATGGAACAATCGATTTAAGTACGGAAAGAGATGGTGTAATGAAAAAAACAGACAAATTATATTTTTTTGATAAAGTATATGTTTTATTATTTAAATAGATAATACAAGCATCGAAATTACAAGGTGGTTTTATTCGTTTGAAAGTTGAAAATTCTGACGTACGTGTAAGAAGTATTTATTCCGAAAACTTTTTTATTCAAGGACAAAATGGAAATTTTCGTTTGGGAAATTTACATGGTCATGGAATAGGTAAATTAATAATTGATTATTTATTTATTTTTTCTAAGATAAAATATATACATATATATATATATATATATATATATTTAGTGGATTTAAATAGCGGTTCAATAAAAATAGGTAAAAAATTTTATTTTCTATTAAAAATTGAATTAACTTTAAATTGATTTTAGCATCAATTGAGGGTGATATTAGTCTTCAATGTGAAAAAGGTAATGTGAATGCTTTTTTTTCATCGACAAATTTATCAACAATACGGGTTCAACAAGGTTTAGTTAAACTTTTGAGTTCTTTTTGCTTGTTTTTATCAAAAATTTGTATTTTTTTATGTTCAGGTGACGTTCAATTAGGTATTGTTGATACGATGGGTATTCGCTTAAATCTTGTTGGTAAACGTGTTCAAATAGCAGAAGATGCTGAACACTTTCATACAGAAACAATAAGAAAAGGAGGAATTGTTCAAGTACAAGGTTTTATATCCGATGAATCAGCTAGTGCATCAATTGATGTTAATGCACCGAAGGGTACTGTTCAAGTCCATCTACGAGATTGGTTTTCAACATTAAAACTTGATCGACATGTTGATCAATAAAGAATTCTTTTGATTTTGTTTTAATTTAGTATTCTGATTGAATCTTCTGTTTGTTTTCTTTTAGATTAAATTATTAAGATTAAAAAAAAAAAGAAAAATTCTTAAAACATGTTGGGTGGACCAGGTGCAAATGAAGCAGAAATGAACAAACGAATGGCTGATTTACAAGTTAAATCAAGTTTTATTCAATTTATTATTGCAGTTGGACTTATGAATTTAGGTAAGAAAATTTTTGTAGTCATGCAAAAATTAAAATTTATATTTCTTTTTTTTAGCTCCATATGTTATAGAAGCCATCACGGGTGAAAGTGCTCGTTGAACAAATTGATAATGATTTTGTTCTTGTGTTTTTCTAATGAAAACATAAATAAAGAAGAAAAAAGAAATTTTTCATTGATTTAGTTACTGTGTGTGTTATTGTTTCTTTTTTCTAAATTTAGATGTCTTTATCAAAAGTACCAGTTCATAAATGTTTAGAAAAACTTCAATGGCTTTTAGGTGTCTGGCGTTCTGAATCAGCCATAATTCAACTTGAAGGGAAATCTTTTTCTTATTTAACTGAATTAAAATGTGAACATGTTGGTCAACCAAATTTTATTCTTCATACTAATGCATTTAATGTTCAACCATTACCAGCTGATGTATTATCATCATGGACAAATGCAACTGAATTAAAACCATTTCATCGTGAAATGGGTTTTTTACGTGTTCATCCAAAAGATGAAACAATTACAAAGATATCATATTTAAATGTACAAAATGTTGGTTTAGCTGAAATTGAAGAAGGAACAATTAATGGAAAAAGTTTTGTTGTTGAAACAAAATCTATTGAACGTTCATGTTTTAATAATGATCCAAGTGCTCGTTTACTTCGTCGAGAATATTCATTAGATGAAAATGATTCAAATATACTTCATGTAAAAGTTTTTATGAGTACAAGTCGTATGAATGAAAATGAAAAACCATACGAACATTTAACAATTCGATATCGAAAAATATCAAACGAATAATTGACAATGAACTCATTGATTTTTATTTTGTCTTTCATTTTAATATGTTTTATTAGTAGTTAACAATCGATCAAACAGAGCTAATTATATATGAAAGTTGAAGAAAATCTATTCTCCACACACTAATCAGACTTGTAGTTCTTATTTCGTAATATGATCAAACATTATTTAAATAAATTGAACGATTTCAAAAAAAAAGCATAAAAATTTTTATGTCAGAATATTGTATGAAACTCAACATCATTATTAGTATATTTTTTTCTTGAATACAATTTATTTGTAGTATTTTTTTTGGCATTTTGAAGACATTCTTATTTTAACGAATTAGTTCTGAATTAATATTAAGAATATTTCTTACAACAGCAAGTTTTTATTTTGTATATTGGACATTTCTTTTGTCCAAAAATAGTAATAAGCACATTTAATATCAAAAATAAGTTATAACAATTTTTTATTGTATGACAAAAAAAACATTTTGTTCTTTTCATCAAATAGAACAAAGAATGAATCTATGCGATTAATCGTAAACATCAATAGAACGACATTTCGACTTTTTTTTTCTCTCTTATAGTTCAAAATTATTGACGCAAATATAACAGATTAAAAATATGTTTGACCTAGAACTGTCTCATTGTCTGTGCAAAGAAACCGAAATACTTTTTTTTCGCATCGTAATTTAACAATGCATTGGATTTATTACCCATATCTTCACTGATTGACGTCAATATATATACTACTATGACGTAGTTTTCGTATTATTTACAACTTTTGAAAACTGTCTCCTTGACTCTCATCTTACGTTTCTAGCATTAAATGTATGCACGAAAGTAAAACAACATTTTTTATAGTATCGCCGTCAGTTTGAGTACATGTCGAATTAGGTTTTTTTTTGTATATTTTCAACTTTTTCTTTTTCATCATCGATAAATATAACTTTGAGTGCTACGATGCATATTACTAAAAATAGTCATCAAATAATAAGCAATGTCAAAACTATGCTTCTATAACCGATGAGAAATATTTTTGTGTTTTCCATAATTAACTTTATCATCATACCATATTGTCTACTACTCGTTAGTTTCAATACAGTTTGATAGACGTGCAAAATTATTGCGTATCGTTTGACCTATCAGGGTAAATTATTGAAAAGAAGAACAATGTATTTGAGTGGTACATGTGATAGTACAAAATGATTTAAATATATATTCTGATTTATGTTTCTTTGTTGATCGACATCTTCGTTCTGTGTTAGTTCTTAAAGAAGAAATTACATTGATATATTCAAAAATTTCAAGAAATTTCTTAGAAATTTTTTTCATTGTATCTTATTCATGATTTTTTTGTACTGAAAAGCGACTAGTTGACCTAGTAAACTATTACAAGGCATTTTCTTTTTTTCTTTCTGTCATTGGTTACTGTATTGACATATTATCGAAGTTATTAAAAGAAATATTTCTCAGAACAATCTCTCAAATCTATTATATTTGCTTAGAGAATGTTTTTGTTTTGTGTCAAGGATACACCTTCAAGTGCTTTATATAAATATATATATGTATGCGTACTTTAACATTAGTGTACAGTCAAAAGTTCTATTGTTGCTCTATTAAATAATTGCTGCAGAGGTTAATTTATTTCTTGTTCAAAACTGAATACCAAATCATGGTTGGATTCTGTATTGAAAATAGAGATAGAATGGATCTAATGTATATTTGTCAAATTTGCAATTTAATACTACGAGATCCTGTTCAACTTTATTGTGGTCATCGCTTTTGTGAATCATGTATAGACGTTAAAGAAAGGTAATTATTAATTTATTTTCAATTTATAACATAAAAATTTATTATCTATAGAGGATTTATTAAATGTTATCAATGTGAACAAGTAACATCGACAAGTAAAGTAAGATTTTTTTTTCGCTTTTTTAATTTAATTTTTTTTTTGTATATATAGATATTTTCTGATCGAGGTATGAAAAATGGCATGCAAATGTTACGTATATGTTGTTTTCTTTGTCATTGGAATGGTTTATTTAAAAATTATGAAGTAATATAGATTTATTATATATATATTTTATTAATACAATTTGTTAAGAATCATTTGACTAAAAATCATTCAACTAATCAAAGTGTTAACAATAATATAACATTTCAAATACTACAATCAACAGAAAAAACCTATGAATATTCAAAGAAAGTAAAAATATTTAAACCTAGTACAGAACAAATTTTATCTCAAACATCAACAAATCAATTAAGTATTGAAGAAACAAATCCTCCAGAAGAAATTTTTCAACAAAAAATTGATTTTATTATCTCATATGATGGTAGATTATTCTGGAAAATTGATAATATAAAAGATCAATTAAGTAAGCAGTACTCTTCAATTGAATATTCGATTGATAAGTTTTCATTTAGATGACATGAAATCTATGATAACTTCACCACCATTTTATACATCACTAGATGGTTACAAAATGTGTATTCGACTTTATATAAATGGTAATGGTATTGGTCAATCAACTCATGTATCTATTTTTATTGTTCTTATGCGTGGTAATCATGATGCTATACTTGATTGGCCATTTAATTATCAAGTCATATTTTGTCTTTATGATTTAATTAATCGAAATAATCATATCATCGAATCATTTCAATCTAATATCAAATCCATATGTTTTCAGCGACCACAATCGGAAATGAATATAGGATATGGAATTTCTAAATTTATTCCAAGATCAATCATTCAACAAGATAATAATTGTTATATATGTGATGATTCAATCTATATTAAAGTAATGATTAGGAAAAATCCTATACCAACATTCATCGTACCTTATATTATGAATATTAATCCTGCATTACCAACACATATACAAGAAGACATTATTGAAAAAGAGATTCAAAAAACTAAAATACAACCATTGAAACTTATACTAAAACTAAAATCATCATCGATATGAACTAAAAAAATTTTTGTATAATTATTCACGAATATATAATATTCAGTTTTATTTTAAAATGCATATACTTTTGATATAAACATGAGGAACAAGATAATCTGCAATGATAGATGAAATAATTTAATGAGGAATATACAAGGGGGGAAAAGCAAGACTTCATCTACTTCAAAAACAATTTGAAGTACGATTGAAGTACAGTGAAGTACGATTGAAGTACAGTGAAGTACGAGTGAAGTACGCGTGAAGTATAGTGAAGTACAGCTGAAGTACAAGTGAAGTACAAGTGAAGTACGGTGAAGTACGTGAAGTACGAAGTCTTGCTTTTTCCCCCTTGGGAATATATCACATAAAATACATGTTCGAAAATCATGAAGTTAATTTTGAATTCTAAAAATTTGACATAATTCAATGAAGAAGTAAAGAACGTAATTACTTGCATTTCGAAATACTTTTGCAATTTCAGGATAGATGAAATTAATCATAATTTGTCATTGAACTAATGTCGTCAATTTTTCATCAAAATCAACGATTTACTCCTTTTTTATAATTTGTGTTGTTAAATAAACATTTTCAATCGCGAAGAGATCGATTTCCATGTAAAAAAGTTGATATTTTAAGGGCCCCTCAGAAATGATTTCCCACTTAGAATGGATCGTTTGAGTTGAAATTTCCTGGAACAATTGACCCTAGTGAGAAACGCTTGTGATGAAAATTTCAGTCCGATATGCCTGACTAAACCGAACTTCCGACTTGTTTTCTTATCTTCTAGGAGAATTGAAATAACTTCATCGTTAGAAGGGATTTAGAGCTCGGACTGGTTTCAAATTAAAGCTAGTCTATGTGAGCAACTTTTTATCGAACAGAATTTTGAAACTACCTTCCATTCATTTTTTATGATCATTTTTGTGGACATAGTGTGCAACATTAGCATAAAAAAATGTCGCTCCACGACAGTAAATTCCACTTTTCTTAGCCCTGGAATCAAATATCTAAAATCTGTTCGATAAAAAGTTAGCTCTGATCAAGACCTTTACAACAGAAAAAAAAACATCGATGATACCTTGAACCAAGGGAAAGTTATTTTAATTTTCCTGTCTAGAAACCGTGTTTTGAGAAAAACGCTAAACAAGTTTTAGAAATGGATTTTTGCATTCAAATTCAGAATAAATCATATTACAATGGTATATTTTTTATATATTCCAGTGGACCGTTTTAGAATACGTAATAGATAAAGGTAGCTAACTCCATCAGACATGCTGGTTAATATAAAAATGTTCTATTCAAAGATAATGCAAGTGACAACACAGTTTTTCTGAAACTGAAAAACTTTAAAAACCACGAAAATTTCTCCGAAAATATGGTAGTGGAGTCAAAATTTCATGTGATAAGTCTTTGAAAATCTGTTCATTTTCCAAAAAGTTATATATATTCTGAAGGAGGAAGCTTCGCTGCACCTTTCTATAATAAAAACTCAACTTCGATATTCCCTTGAAAAACTCGATATTCTAAGGGGGCCACCTTAAGAGGACTCCCCCCTTTCCTGACCCAAAATTTTTGGTCTTTTCGTTTTTTATTTTTAATATCTAGTATATAGATCTAAGTGCCCTCTATCTAATATATAGATTACCACCTACAACGCATATGTTCTTTCTCTATCCTTTTTATCTTCTTACCAACGACAGAATGACACAACGATGACTCATTATTCATCTTGGTTTTTTTCTACCATTATATATACCAATGGAAGGAAAGAGATTGTGTGACAGAAAAAATACTTCGTTATTTTGTTGTTGCTTTGATTGAAATGTCCTACGTTTTCTGAAAGAAGTCGACTACTACGAAGACGAAATATCATTTCAGCAATTATTTTGAAAAATAAATTAAAAGGAACATGTCTGAATCAAGCAAAAAGGAGAGTGAGTAAAAAATTATAGCGTTTATTTTCAAGTAGAGAGGAGCCCAATAGAGATACGGAACGAGGATTTGAAAAATCTATAGAACACGACAAAAAGAAATGCGTTTTTAAACCCAAAGGCTAACTAAGAAAGATCCCAGATGTGGAATCGTTTTTCGGCTAAAATACAGTTTGACAATAGGTAATCGAGCGGCTGATTTCAAATATCATACTGGTTTTTATCAAAACATCTTTCTAAAAAACTGGACCTTGGATTTCGGAGACTTGTCGATCACAAAATGTGTTTCTAATCTGCTCCAATGATAGAGCACATCGGAACATCTACGGGAAGTCATGTTGCAAAAGTTTTGGAAGGCTTGAAGTTACTTTTGTGGGCAGAAACTGTGAGACACATACAAGTAAGTCTCGGAGTTTCAGTGTTTTGCCCACAAAAATGAGCCAAAAGCCTCCTCAAAAATTTCAAAAGTTGTTCTTGGTAGCTATTCCAAAACGCTCTTTCATTTGAATTGTCGAGAAAATTTCTTGTCGTCAAATATTCTCTGGAATCCATGACCTAGTTTTTCTTAAGACCAATCTCTGGAGAACTAGCAAGATGGGTGACACAGATTCGGAATCTACACACTGGATTATCCATTAGCCACTAAGTTTTAGTTCAAAAGAGAGGAGATTGTTAGGGACTTTTCCTCCTAAATTAGTTTTGATCATAACCTCTTTTCAATTAAATAAAATTCAGTTCATTACGTTTAGTCGCTTTCTATGTTTTTATTTCTGCTTGTTAGGACCGAGTCGTCAAGATGATGTTCATCGCCAAGTTGGTGGCAGCGGTGATCCTCGTCTACATTTCAAACATTCTCCAAATCGAACTGAAGCAAGAGATCGTGCAAGAAGTCATAGTGGAGGCCGTACACCAATTCATCATACTGCACACAAACCAGGAGAATACGCTCATTATCATCCGGCCAATAAAGATGGAGAAATATTGAAGGATGGAAGTCATTATCAGTATGGACAAAAGAAAACAGAATTACAAAAACAAGGAGAACCTGGATGGAAGAAAAAATAAGAATATGAATGCCAAAAATGGAACACGAGAGACCTAGCTATGCACGTGGCACAAATATTTTTTGTGATTTTTTTTTGTGATCGTTTTGTTTCTTCTAAATCTTTTAGCTATAATAAAGAAAGAAAAAATAAAGATTAATAGAGTATTTAAACTTTTAATATCACAGGAACTGTGACATACAGAACAAGTAAAAAAAGCATATTTCTGCGACGTTCGTGTTTCCTACTTTGGTGGCATTGCCCTCACGAATTCCGCGGCGTTTAATCGGTTAAAGAGAGAAATTTCACTGTTTAGATTTCTTGAGGTCTATACTGACAAGCTTTTTTTAATACTATCTTTTTCCTTTCAACGGATTGTTTTCGTATCCTGCGTCGATCCTTCCAGTAATTATCTCCACAAAAGAGAAAACATTCCTTTATCCGTCTGTCAAAACGACTATATGAACAAACCACTTACATTCTTATATAGGAAATTTTTCAAAGCATTAAAATAGTCAGATCAACACAATTTAAAAGAGAGAGTGTGTGTTTTCGTCTCATTTCTCTCTATCAGTTTAAGGATAAGTATCGCTCATTTGAAGGAGTGGCGAAGAAAGAGACATAAAATGACGATCACCACATTTAACAAATTAGTTGGTTTATCATTATTAGAAACTTTTGATTACTTGTAGTCAGATGAAGGTCTGTATAGATTTCTAAACTTGAACGAATATTCAGATCATTTGATATTTGAACGAATGATATTTACAAACCTTTGTTTTAAGAATTCATCTGCCTACGAAAACGGTTTTTTCAATGTGTATAGATATTGTACCATTAACCAGAGTTGTAACCAATAGGGTTTTTTCCTTACCGGTACCAGTACGGGTCTAACTGATCAGACCGGATCGGACCGGTCGGTATACCGTATAAATTATTCTTATGTTTTCTGACCCTATAACACTCAAATCAACACCTAGATGAGTCATATACTCCTTCTAATCACTACAGCTATGATATAAAAGTACTATTTCGCCACTGCAGTGCTTTTTACTATTTGCTTTCATATATTTTCTGTTTCTCGATATCTGTTGGTGAGCACGAAAGTTCATACAACCATAAATTCTATGTTAATTTTGCATTTTGATTAACTATTCATCAAATATGAGCTCTATTTATTGCTCGTATGTTTAATCTACCTTGTATGCTATACTCGCTTTGTCATCTTTCGTGTCTGTGAGGACTATATATAATAAATAATAGGAAGTATAAATCCATGATAAACTACAATGCTAAACAATTAATCATTTGATTTTATTTGAACAACGCTCATGCGGTTCAGGAAACGGCATTTTGTCGGTTAAAACAGTTCTTATTGACCAAAGCTACTGTTTATCATACCTAAACGTCGTTTCAGAACAGAAAATAGCTAGAAATTGACCTTCGTAAACGGTACGGAAACGTTCTTGTATGCATTCGAGCTTATATACACATGATAACATGTCTGTGCTGTTTACGAAGATCAATATCCAGCTATTTTCTTTTCTGAAACGACGTTTAGGTATAATAAACGATAGTTTTGGCCAATAAAAACTGTTTTAAATGATAAAATGTCGTTCCTTGAACTATATGGGCAGAACGTCGTATCCACATGAATTGGATAAATATAAAAAGATCCATGACAAATTTTGACTCAATAGGATAGTTTGATACAGTTTTTTTTTTACCAAAATAGTCTTCGATATTAGTAAAAAGTTTTTGATATTCGAAGAAAACCACCTTTTTGATCATTTTTTCGGGAAAAAAATAGGGGAAAATTCAAAAAAATTCAGACCGGGCCGGTAAAGAAAAAGTTGGTTCTACCCGCCGGTAAGGAATCTTCTACCGAACAGGACCGGACCGAACCGAACCAGACCGGCCGGTCTGCCGGTCCGGTTACAACTCTGATTCTAACCATCGCTATTAAAAAGAGCACAGACATGTGTTCATGAAACTATTCTTAACAAGACACTGCATTCATTTCTTACTTGTTCACATTTATCGGTATCGAATCATCCATAAAATATAAATATAAATACGACTGATTTTATTTTCGTAGTCGCACTATAGCTCATCGTGATCAAACGCTCTATCTACTATTCACATTTGCATTTCAGATTAAATATGAGCAATAAATCGTTGTTATTTTCATCTTGAAAATGACACGAGTGTCGATCTCAAGGCTTCCTGGTACTATTCATCTAGTCAGATGTTTTGAGATTCCGATTGATCACAATCGTTCCTATTATCCGAAGTAGATACCTCATCAATGAACAGTTCATCAAAGCCCTACCTTTACCGAGGGATAACTTGGATTATTCTACATTATTCAACACGATAATACCACCCATATCGACACCAATCAACAAAACCTCTTTACAATACAATCTTTCTCATTCTTCAAACAGCTATCCTCCTTATATAACATGCTCTATTAGGTGTTATACATTTTTATCAGCAATTATGACATACATCTATGTATTGTGATAGCTTATCTCACCCACCCTCACTCTCAAAAACTAAAATTTTCTTCAACTTCATCTTTGTAAAAAAAAAAGCGAGCCGATCGAAATCTTCGAAACCTTCATCCATCCTCAATGATATAAACAAAGTACACCTAATTATTCTGATAGATGAATGATATTTCTTTAAATATCAAAAATATTGATTATTCTTTCTTTAGCTGTTTTTTATTTCTTATTCTCCGAAGAATTGATTAAGACAATATGAAATTCGAAATGACCTGATGACGAGTTTCTTAAGCAAGGACGAAACATCGCATGATATGCTTTGAATCAATTTCTCTTTAAACGCACCTTGACCCCTCTTTGTCTTTATTCTTTATCTCTTTGTGTGAATGTCCTTGACGCTGTGCTTGTATCTTGCGTCTGGATTCAACTCTCGACTAAATCCTGGATGTGAGATATTGTGATATAAATAACGAAAAATTTTTCATAAATAAATTGAGATGAAACCAAACATTAAAGAAGAACCAGTTCATTATCTAACGATGACTCATTTCAAACTATGTAGAGTATATGTAATAAAAAGACTAAATCATTTTGCTGGTCATAGGAATCGTTTGGGTGTTTCTGTAACATTAATGCTTTCAGGTAGATGGTGTTAAGCTGTTTACCATCTGCTAGAAACTATAGAGAATAGCACTCAAGAGCAATATTTCCTGGCCAATACCAATACTTACAATCTCAATACCAACAATACTCCAACACCAATCAATATTAATACCTTCAATACTAATACTAAGAATACTCCAGCATCAAACAACATTAACAGCGACAATATGAATTCCAATCAATACTTTCAATATCAATACCCAAGGGGTTTGATATTGGTGTATGCCTAATTGCATATAAATAGTTCTAAGAGATATATGAGAACATTCTAAAATTTTCTGGATGAATGATCATAAATCTTTTTTTATGGATGGTTTCAGAAAATTCTAGAACGTTCTTTTACATTTCTTTTGAAAGGATTATGCATTAATCCTTATGAAGTACGTTGTGTAAAAGAATCATAGAACATGTGTAGCATTTTTGCTACTATCAGACTCAAAAGGTCAATAATTCGATTGAGCACATCTAATTATTTATATCTATTTATTTAATTATTTCGACAAAAGTCAATTGCTGGAAAGCAAGAGTTAAGATTAACAGATTGATTTTTATTTATAAAATTTATAGGTCAGTCTGTTTTTTTGTTTGAATCACCCTCACTCTCGGATACTATACCACCTTTGAATAAAAGCCACAAACCGAATCCCAACTCACCAACAATCATAGGTAAGCTAAGAAATAATTCAACTGTTGCTTTATATTTTTCGTAGTTGGGTAATAGTAAATTAGCAAAATGGCTGGTTAGGTAACACAAAGAAGCAATGATTAATAAAACGCCAAATATTTTGGGAATATAACCAGATTTAAAAACTAAATAACCAAGGACGTAAAGATGACATCCAAAGACAACTAATCCAATAGACCAAATATTATTAAATGCATTTAAAAAAAACGTTACCAAAGCATTTAACTGAGTTATTTCAAAAACAGACAAGTAATTTGCACCATTCAATAATAACACAACAAAAACTAAATTTAGTAGAGCAGTTCCCAAAATTGCTGAATAGACAAGCCGAAACCAGGCAGTAACCAAAGAAAGATTTTCACTTACTTGTTTGAGAAAAACATGAAGTGCCCAGGCTACCAACACATCACAGATAAGCACGACAAGAAAGCTACAAATGCCAACACGAAATAGCATCATGGAAGACTTAATATTATTGGCTGTTAAAGTTGCATTATCAGGCACAATAAGACTTTGGAGAACAAAACCATAGGCAAACCCTGCAAGAATTGCCATGATTAAAATTGAGAATCCTGCCACTAATGCAGCTTTACGTTGTGAAACATCAGGCATTATGTTCTTTTATTTTTAAATATGATTAATACTAATTTTCTAAAACAAAAGGCAAAATGATCTTTCTTAAATTATTATTTCATTGTCTTTGGGTAAGAAATGAAAAGTATCTGAATATATTAGCCCTGAGAAAAAAGGCGAACGTATAACCAGGGTTTGACAAAAGGCGGGCAGAAGTGCTAACTTTAACATTTGGGTACTTCTACACGATATGCATTCTTAAGTAAATGAATATTTATTTAAAAAAAAATTTATTTTTGATTATATATCCATCAGTACAATATTCAATAAAGTGAAATATATATTGATACATGAATCAAAATTAACTTTGACACGTATGACGACAATGTATGACAGAAGAGAAAAAAATTTCAATTGGTGTATACACGCAACCGTTAAACATAAGAGATAATTAGATGGTGTAACTAGATGAGAGAGAATATATTTATTTCCAAAAAAAACTAGAGAAGAGAACAACAGAATTAACAGAATAAATAAGAAGAATCCTGAACAACAGAAGAATCAATCAGACAAGAGGATACCAGATGTGTA